ATTTTCCAAACTGGAATTTGGGGTGCGAGATACGCGCAAGACACAAATTGCACAGCAAAGCGACATATGCTGTACTGCAATGATGGGACTTTGCTGCATCGCCTCAATGTGGCGGCAGGGTACATGAGTACTTCTGAGAGGGAGGGGCTGACGGGAGAGCCCTTGGTCAAGCGGACCAAAAAAGATGATGGTAAAACAACGTGGTCTGGAGTGAAAAAACAATGTCTGCCAGCCAGCAACCTGGTAGCAACTGGTGCGTTCTGTGTTTCTGTTGAACGTGAACACTGGGTCAAAATTTGTATGAAGACCCAGTGCTCAGGGCATACCATGAACGCTTTCGGTGGCACATTGCTGCCCTGGTGCGTGAGATGGATGGAGATGGGTGGCAGGCTCATGTCTTGCGGTCATGGGTTTAAGCACTTTGTATCTGTTTGTTTTGCCTTGAAGGCGCTTCCATGTGGCCCATTGTTGGGCCAGCTGACAGAAGTTTGGAAGTACTCGGACTTGGAGCTTTTCAAGGCCAAGCCTTGGAACATCTGTCATTGAGTACATTGAGTGTTTCTGTTGCTTTGCAGGGCATCAAATGGCAGGGTGTAGATATGTGGGCCAGATGCTATGTGCTCAGGATGTTTGATGTACCCTTGCTTCTCCGTGGCTCCCTCTGCTTAGGCAGATGCCATGAACGTCATGGCATACATGAGGCGAAGCCGGTCTTTCAATCCACCACAGCAGTGGGAACGTGCTTTAGACAATGCTTTTAGACAGCTTCAGGCTGCTGTGGATGCGCCACACAAAACCTAGGTTGTCAGTCCAAACCTAGGTCTCTGAATGAATTGGGGAACAATGGTGCCAAAAGAGCTGCTTCGCCTTGATGGTGCAAGTTTGCACACCTGTGTGGCTACAAAAGTGAACCCGTGAATTATCCGTGATTTGGTCGTGAACACCCCGTGAATCGTCGTGAAAACCCCGTGAAAATTCATGGGTCACTTTTCAAGCTCAGCAATTTGCGAAAAAGATGCCACACGCGTGTTTGCATGTGGTTAACATAACTTGCCCTGACTTGCAGCAATTTGGGAAGAAACTGAGTTGATAGGCCTTAAAGTGCGTAAATGTCGGCCACACACGACACAGAAGAGCTGGCGATGCAGGGTAGAGATTGGGTGCTGGAAGAGGTCAAAGCGCTGCAGGAAGCGAATGGTGGGAAGTGTCCAACAGTAGCGCAGTTGACAAAGGCAATGCCTCTGACAAAAGAGGAAGCCAAAGAGGTGCTGCAGGAGTACAAATGCGCAGCTGCTGAGGATGTCCCGCCAAAAAAAAGGGCCAAGAAATTCCCTGATCCTCCAGTGCCAGAAGTGCCAGAGGCTCCAGTAGAGCGTCCAGTGCTTTCTCCTCGCCCTCCTTTAGCGTCAGCTGCAACGCAGATCTATGATCATGATGAGACCCAAGTTGTTCCTGAACCTTCTGTGCCCTTGACCCAGCCTGAACAGCTGACGCCCAAGAGCTTGGAGCTGATGACTCCAACGCAGCTTGCTCTGGAGAAACATGGTTCACATAGGTGGGAGCCTTAGTGTTGTAGTTTTATGATGTTTCATGTGTGCTGTTTGCTTTGTGTCATTCCTAGGTCAATTAGCACGCTGCTCAGGGGTCAACAGCTTCTTCGTGGATTCTCGCAGTCAAAGGTGGCCAACTTTGACATTGAGGATGATGATGTTGAGGTGGTAGAGGTGCGGTTAGGTTCATGCATGTTCACGCATATCATTCCATGTAACTGAACAATCCTTTTTACTCTCATGTGGTTGGTTGGAGAGTGGCCTTTGGGCTCCTCCAATGTGCATATTACATGTTCATGGGTTCAAGTTCATGTGATGTGTGTGTTCGTGTCAAAACCAACATCTTCATGGTCATGATTGTTCATGTTCCCAGGTCTTGTCAACATGGATATGTATAGAGTGTATATATATATATATATATTTCTATTGTCTACTATTCTGCTCTGTCAGGATAGCTTGCCTCGCGATGAGATGGACTCTCAACCACCCCCTGGCGATTCCTATTGGGGCGACCAGGATGCTCAAGTGGATCAGGAGTGGGAAGCCAAGGCTCTTCTGAGTGATGCTCAGGAAGCCACTCGGGCTCATGAAGAAGCTGAAGCTCAGAAGGCTGCTTCTGCTGCTGAGAAGAGGGATCCACCTCTGCCTCCAGCACCAGTCCAGCAAGCCCTGCCTGGCTCTGTGGCCCCTCCAATGGAATCCCCTCCAGTCGAACCTGCAGCTGCTGCAGGTTCCATGTGTGGAGGTTTGGTGGTCACATCCACAACACATCGGAAAGAATGGGCTTTATTGAACAGGGTGGCTACGGGGCCCCGCGCTGCAGAATTCCCCAATGTAGCAAGGTTGTTTCAGGGGACGAAGCAACAGAAGCTGCAAGTTCTGAAGGACTTTGTGAACAATGGAACGAACCTTGAAGCCTTGGAAGCACATGTCACAGCCACCCGTTCACAGTCCCAAACCATCAGGCGGACTCGCAGACTCATGACGATTGACCAGATG